GGAAGCGTCCTCGACATTGAGAAACACCCCTTCACCAAGAGTGCCATGCTAGGACTGATTTAGGTACGAAAGCTTTTATGTGCGCAGCTCCTCTAGCTTGGAACACTCTGCAAAAATAACTGAAACTGAGCATCTTGGTTCCCCTGCATCGGTTTGAAGCTCGGCTAGATGCAATGCAATTTCATACTCTTGGTACCTGTCAGTGTCGATAGCAGGTTTGTAAATTACCCTGTCATTATGTTGTATGATGTACATACAACATAATGTATGTTGTTTTCATGTGTAACCGACGTGCTGCAGGTCTCCCTTGAAAAGGAGATCGTCTGATCACAATGGGATTTCACCTGGTTAAATAAAGGCTACAAACTAGAGAAGAAACTGCATTGTCACTTCCTGCTAGGCTGCAAAAAGGGGGCGGGGCTAAAGGTTGATTGGCTCGTTTAGTCAGAACCAGTGGCTAGCCGTGACTTGTATACCTCTGTGAATTCACAGCAGGACCACCAAACAGCTCCTCTCTTCACAGTAACTCGCAGAGACGAGCTTCTTTCATTTAACCCTTCACATTCCAACAGAAACTGAACAGGCGGATTCGAAGGATTTATTTCTTTGGAAATGTTATTTTAAAAACACAACTAAATCAAGTTATTTTGGTAAAACTAATGAGAAATATAAATACAAAAATATTATTTTTTGGAATATCTTAGGACCTCAGAGAGGGTCTGGTTTAGAATGACAGATGATTTAACGAATCACACTAGTTTCTAGGCTGACATGAAGAATCGTCGAAATCTCAATATTCTATTCGATCTAGTGACTTTTAGTTTCTAATTATTAGTTTTATAATTAATAATTAATAAAACAAATAAATGATTTGTATCAGTCTGTGTATTTATTGCAAAGCCTTAAAACAAGTGAAAGGGGTCTCATAATGTCTTAGTAATCAGGGGTTACATTCGACTATGTCATGTTTTTAATATTCAACGTACTATACTGTGTAGTTTCTTGTTTAATATTCGACAACATAATATTAATGACTTACTGTGGACTCTATATATGACCTGTTCCGCTTCGAGGAGATTTACAGCTTCATGAATGATTGAGACTGAAACACTGCATGAATTTTTCAAACTCTGAAAATATATTTGAAAAAACATTCATTTACCGTAAGAAAACAATGAATATTCACCCATTTAAACCATACAAGTACAACATGTGCAGGTACAGATCTGTTCGGACGGTTATCGTAGCACAGTCAAAGTACACCTTGTGATTATTTTTCCCAGACAACAACCTCAACATTTAAACATGTGAACAGCAGCAGGACTCTGAAATGTTAACGTTAAATATATATGATGATTTTACTGTCATTTCAGGCACTTTTTTTCACCCATAAACGAACAGCTAAATGTGTGACAGCAGTACAGTCAGTTACCGTCCATTGACCACATGTGAGTGACACTCAGACGTCTCTTTGGGTTCGATCTCATCAGCTGTTAAAGATTAGAAAGTAAAATTCCTGAGAACTGAAAAATACAGAGGAATACATTCCAGTGTTTCTTGATAACAATATATAAAAAAATGAATAAATACGCCTCCACAGTCGGGACACAGCTGCCACCGGATCAATACATGAAAGTGGCTGGATTATTGATGCACACACAATAAAATACATAAATTAAAAAGGCCATTTCTTAAATAAGAGGCGAACCTCTACAGTATCATGTTTCAGTAAAATGGCTAAAAACACTTCACAGTGAGTTTTAAAGAAAAGGCATTTACAAAAATCAACAGTATGGTTCTTTGTAGTTCGTAATGCACCCTATACAGGCTGCGTATAGAAGTGAGGAAGGTGCAGGACGGATCACCACATTACCGTTTGACCCCTCTGGGCTTCCGTACGTTGAGAATACAAGGAGGTACCAAAAAGAACCGGGTCACTGGACACCAAGATAAAAGCACAATTAACGTACTTGTTGCACATCTCTAACATAGAGAGGGCACACACACACACACACACACACACACACACACACAACACACACACACACACACACACACACACACACACACACACACACACACACACACACACACACCTTCATTTACAGGAAATAAATAGTACCAGTTATAGTTTCAAACACCAGAGCTTATTGACTGGCTCTGGTGTTCTCTCTCTCTTCTCTACCCCACACACACACACCCTCTCTCTCTTCTCTACCCCACACACACACCCACCCTCTCTCTCTCTCTCTCTCTCTCGAGCTCTAGCCCTGCTGCACCAGTCTGCGGTAGTGGGGCATGACTTTGCTCTCGGGGAGATACAGGCCCATCTCCAGAGCCACGAGCACGGGGAACTCCAGAGGGATCAGCTCCCGCCGGTTGATCCGGAACCGCTCCTCCAGCTTCTGCTCCAGACGGGGGAGGGGGGGGAGAGGTTAAAGAGGGTGCAGATTCTCACACACACACACACACACACACACACACACACACACAC